AACAACATACTGAGTGGTAGAAGTAAATCTGAGGATACAGCACATAGTGGTAGAGTGCTTGCCTAACATATCTGAGGTCCTGGTTTCAATACTTAGCACTTTTTTTTTTTTAAGTTAGAGCCTTGAGCAAAAAAGCTCAGGGAATAGCACTCAGGCCCTGAATTCAAGTCCCCAAAAAAAGCACACACACACACACACACACACACACACACAAAGATAAGGACAGTGCCTAGATTTTGAGGTCAAGACCCAGTACAAGCACGCATGCACTCATGCACACACGCAGGCGCGTGAGCGTGCGCACACACACGTGCACGCACACACACACAGACACACACACAAATTATGAAGACAAAAATGGAAATGAAGGCAGGTATCATAGCACACACTATAATCTTAGCTACTTGGAAAGTGTAGATTGTGAGGATCATAGTTTTAGGCTAACCTAAGCAAAAAGTTCAAAAGATTCCATTACAACCAACCAACCAACCAACCAAACACACAAACAAACAGTGTAACTGTCACCTCAGTTATGTGGGAAACATAAATAGGAGGATCATAGTCCAGGCCAATCTGGTCATATGCCCAAAACACCTAAGCAAAAAAGGCTGGGGCCATGATTCAAGTGATAGAATTGTTGGCTAGCAAACACAAGGAAGGCCCTAGGTTTGAGACTTTACTCAAAAAAAGAAAAGGAACAAAAAGAAGTACAATACTGAAAGCACTTGAGAAAATCCTCATGACCTTTGGGGCAAAACAAAAATTTCTCAGACAAAAAGGCACTATCCAACTTCAACCTCAACTTTCATCAAAATAAAAAATTTTTGCTGTTAATTAAGGCTATGGAAACAAACAAAAGACAAACTTCATCTATATCCTACAATAAATATTTGTAGGACACATCTGAAAAATATTTGTGATTAGAATATATAAAAAAAAATTACAAGGGCTTCTTGAATCAAACCGGTAATACAGAGAAGGAAATACAACATAGTTTGTTCCTAAATATTTGGCTGAAAATAATTTTTGTAAAGATATACCAAGATATTGTACTAATAAGCATGTGCCAGCATGCCCAGCAGAAGGTGAGTTTTGAAGTCATTAAACAAGGATTCTAATCCTATACCCATTTTTTTTACTAACTATATTACCTTGGGTAAACTATTTAATCTTTGAATTCAGGTGCCTACCAGCCACTCAATGAATATAAGATCACTTTCTTTCCCTTTGGATGGCTCCAATTGGTTTCAATACCTGTGACTTTTCTCTTAAAAGGTAATCAGCTCCACCTATCACTTTAATCCTAATGATCTTTTTGTTGTTGCTGTTGGTCGTGGGGCCTGAAATCTGGACCTGGGCACTGTCCCTCAGCTCTTCAGCTCAAGGATAGCGCTCTACCCCTTGAGCCATCATGCCACATCCGGCTTTTTCTGCTTATGTGGTGCTGAAGAATAGAACCTAGGGCCTCCTGTATGCAAGGCAAGCATTCTACCACTGAGCAACCTTCCTAGCCCTCTAATGATCTTTTTATTTCACTTTTTTCCCCCTGTGAGTTATGGAGTTTGAACTCAGTGACTCACTTGGCTGGCTCACTTGCTCAAAGATGGGACTCTATTCGTTGAACTACTCCTCCAGTTTGGCTTTTTGCTGGGTAATTGGAAGTAGAGTAACATGGGTTTTTTTTTTGCCTGAGTTGGCTTCAAACCAAACTCCACCAATTTCAGCCTCCTCAGTAGTTAGGAATACAGGTGCATCTTCTGAATAATTTTAAAATCAGTTTTTTTTTTCACTTCTTGCTCATCTTATACCTGGGCTTTCTATTGTGGTTTATTTCAGCCAGAATACTAATCCTACAAAATGTGTAACAAATAAAAAAGAGCGAAGAGCAAGCTTGGGAAAGTATCCAATGGCTATTCTTCTTGCAATGTACATTATAATGTTAAAACATACAAGAATTTTTTTTTTTTTTTGCCAGTCCTGGAGCTTGATCTCAGGACCTGGGGACTGTCCTTGAGCTTCTTTTGCTCAAGGCTAACACTCTACCACTTGAGTCACAGCATCACTTCCAGCTTTTTGTTTGTTTGTTTATGTGGTACTGAGGAATCGCATCCATGGGTTCATGCATGTTAGGCAAGCACTCTACTACATTCCCAGCTCCATACAAGAAATCTTGTAGTGGTGAATTCCATTTAACACAGATTTACTAATTTGATTATAAAACTTTCAACATCTTACTGGAATACAACCAGCTCAAAAAAAAAAAAAAAAAAAAAAAAAACCCAACTACAAGAACTTCTCACTGCTTACAGGCTAAAATCAACATACACAGTTAAGGACATATTTATATGTGCCATAAATGGTCTCTCAAAAGTAGAATATCTGAAGAGAGGAAAGGTTGATGAAAACAGTCATAATTTTCAATGTACATGTGTGAAAATGGAATCAACTTGAGGGGATGAGTAGGGCTGGGAGAGATGGAGGAGAACAACAAAAGGGGTGACATTGATGAAGATACATTGTACTCATAAACTGAAACCTCTTGTATACACTATTTAAAATAAAAAAAAATTAAAGCACCAGGCAACGGTGGTTCATGCCTATAGTCTTTGCTACTCAAGGAGACTGAGATCTGATATGTGCGTTCAAGACCAACCCAGGCAGGAAAGGCTTTAAGACTCTAATCTTCAATAAACAACCAAAATAAATAAATAAAAAGCTGGAAGTGGAGCTGCAGCTCAAGTGGTAGAGTGCTGGCCTTAAGCACAAAAGTTCAGCGACAGCACTTAGACTCTGAGTTCAAGCCCCAAGACCAGCACATACACAAAAGGGCAATTAAAAAAAACAACAACTAGACTATCTGCTTTGTATATCTGTCTCTCCCAAGTTATACAGGTAATGTGTGCTCAGGAAATGTATTATTAACGAGCATCCAGGTTGGACCGAACATATTACTGATGTCAACTAGTAATGAAATCACTCAGTTGTTGCAACTGAGTCCTTGAAAGTTTTACATTTCATAGTAATGACCACTAAATGTTGGAGAAAATGTCTATCATATTTTTTAAAAATATAATTTTATTATTATTAAGGTGTTATACAGAGTTGTTAGCATTTCTTAATTCAGGGAATGAGTAAATTTTTTTTTTTTTTTTGGACAATGTCATCCCTTCCTTTACATTCCCCCAGTCTATCAGATTTCTAAAAGGTCAAGAGTTCCTAAAGATTTCCTCTGACACATCTCTACTAATCTAGATCAGCCAAGGAGACAACCTTGGTGAGTGTTTCATCATTCTTCATTCTTCTTTTAAGCCTCAGGTTCTCTTTTAAAAAGGAAGGTACATATATGGCAGGCTTAGTGGGAGTAATACTGTACAGAAATACCTAATTCAGGGTCTGATACATGATAAAGAATTATTTCTCCTCATCATGGAGTACAATAAAGTAGAGTAAAAGGAAAAAGAAGGCAGGCAACACTTTATAAAGAGTAACCAGAGGGGGCTGGGAAGGTGGCTCAGTGGTAGAGCACTTGCCTTGCATGCATGAGGCCCTGGGTTTGATTCCTCAGCACCACATAAGCAAGAAGAAAAAAGCCAGAAGTGGTGCTGTGGCTCAAGTGGTAGAGCGCTAGCCTTGAGCTTAAGAGCTGAGGGACAGCGCCCAGGCCCAGAGTTCAGGCCCCACGACTGGACCAAAAAAAAAAAAAGTAACCAGAGAAGACCTCTCTAGTGAGAGAGTTATACAAGTAGTTGGGACAGCGTATTCCAGGTTAAGAGAAGAATAACTGTAAGATCCTTAGGCATGGGTATGTGGTTCGCTTGAGGAACAATAACAAGGATGTCAATATGGACAGAGTATATAAGAAGAAGAATAGAAGCTGAGATCAGAGAATTAACAGGATAGAAGTGTAGTCATATTGCAGAGGACATCAGAGGCCATTGATAAAACTTTGGCCTTTACTTCAATAAAGAACAGTCATTGGAAAGTTTTGAAGAAAGAACTGATGATTTTCTAATGTTTTAAAAGATCATTCTAGTGGCCATGCTTAAACAGACTGGGGAATAGGAGGGAGGAAAAACCAGAGAAACTGGTTAAAAGGCCTTTCAGTGAGTTGAACTAAGGAAAGAGTTGTACCTGCATATATTCTGAAGGAAAAGAAGACACGAATTGCTGACAGAGTAGGTATGAAGGTGTTGAGAAAAATAAGATCCCAAAATAACCCCAAGATTCTCTCTTGAATCACAACTAAAAAGCCAATGCTGCTGTTTGCAATAGAAAATATTGAAGGAAAAGTAGGTGTAGTAATAGGAGCAAGGTAGGATATTGGGATGCTACTGTTTAACATAGCCATTTCACCATCCTTGAAGTGAAGTCCTTGTCCTAGACTGAGTGAGCTGCAGCCATTCACTGGACAGAGGGCGAACTGCTGGCTCTATGGGTTTTTTTTTTGTTTGTTTGTTTGTTTGTTTTTGTAGCCAGGTTACAGACTTAGTATCTAGCACTACAGCTAGGAATGTTGATAAGTTGAAGAAGACAAAGCTTAGGAAGTCTAACCTAGTTAGGACTTTACCCTTGTTCTGCACTAAGAAAACAACAACAAAAACCACTAATTCATTGACCATCTCTCAAAAGGACTCTCTGGAATCAAGACTACCCTGTAATCACAAAATCTATTAGCAAGTTCTGGTCCAAGACATACTTATTCTAATTCAGTATCTTCATCTCTTCTAACACAGTACCTTCCATAGAGAATAAACAACTTGTTAGCTATCTTCAGCCTCAAGTGCTATAGTGCTACACATCCATATTATTATCCCTTTCTGACACCACAGGAGCAGAATTTTACTCAAGGGATTTTTTTTTTGCTGGTCCTGGGACTTGAACTCAGGGCCTGGGCTCTGTAGCTGAGCCTCTCTGTGCTCAAGGCTAGTGCTCTACCACTTGAGCCACAGCGCCACTTACAGCTTTTTCTGAGCAATTTATTGGAGATAAGAGTTTCATGGGTGTTGACTTTGGCAGTACATATACTAAAATTGGAACAATATAGAGAAGATTAGCATGGACCCTGTGCAAGGATGGCAAGCAAATTCATGAAGCGTTCCATATTTTTTTATCTGAATTTGGGAAGGGAAGGGGAACAACAAGATGGTGAGACAAAGGACAAAGAACCAATGCAGCAGCAATACCCACAAGACAATATGTTGTAAATGATCTGTACAACTTGGAGGGGGAAAGTTGGGAGGAGGGAAAGTGAAAGAAAAATGAGGGAGGGGTGTAACAAGTTTGACAAGAAATGTACTTATTACCTTACTTAAGTAACTGTAAACCCTCTGTATATCACCTTGAAAATAAAAAAAAATTTTTTTTAAGTTGGTTTCTAAAAAAAAAAAAAAAGAAAGAAAAAGTTTCATGGATTCTCCTGACCAGGCTGGCTTTGAACCTCAATTCTTAGCTCACAAGCTCCTGAGTAGCTAGGATTACAGGCGTCGAGGACTTTTTTTCTGCAAAGGCATAAAATGAATATTCTTCATTTCTCAATTATCTTCCTAAGACCCAATATTCATTAAGTTTATCCAGAGAATATGTTTTTTTTTAATTTTCCAATTAATGTTTAGATCCTCTACCTACTTACAGAAATTTAACCAAAGGGAATATATGCTCAAATTCTAGAGGTATCAATTTACTGTTGTAACAGTGAAAATACTGGTAACATTCCTTTGGGTTTATAAAATAAAGATTGATTAAGGAAACTATGGGACATAAAAAATACTTAGCTGGGTGCCCACTCAGGAGGCTGAGATCTGAGGACCATAGTTCAAAGCCAGCTCGAGCAGGAAAGTCCATGAGACTCTTAATCTCCAATTAACCTCCAGAAAACTGAAGTGGTGCTGTGTCTCAAAATGGCAGAGCATTAGCCTTGAGCGTGACCAAAAAAAAAAAAAAAAAAAAGGCACAAAACTAAGTGCTCATAAAAATGATTCCATACTAAATAACCTAGCACTACACAAAAGGCTGGGAATGTAGCTTAGTGGTAGAGTGCTTGTCTAGCATGCACGAAGCCCTGGGTTCAATTCCTCAGCACCATATAAACAGAAAAAGTCTGAAGTGGCACTGTGGCTCTAGTGGTAGAGTGGTAGCCTTGAGCAAAAGAAGCCCAGAGACAGTACCCAGGCTGTGAGTTCAAATCCCAGGATGCAGAGGGGAGGGCAGGGGAAAGAATTCTATATAACAATATGTTAAAAATATTAAAGCAGACTACAAGTAGTATGTATAACATGCTCCCTCAATTTTTGTTTTGTCTTATTGTTTTTGTCAGTATTGAGGATCAAACCCAGGGCTTTGTGTATGCTAGGCAAGACTCTGCCACTGAGCTACATCCTCAGTTCCACTCTACACTTATAAAGCATATATATAAGTTATACTAAAATGTATTTATATAGGATTAACAAAATAGTAGTGATGTTATCACCATATAGAAGGATGTGGATTTTTTTTTGTCTGTTTCAAAATTTTATTTTCTTTTCTTCTTTGGTCGTGGGCCTGGGTGCTGTGCTTGACCGTTTTTTTTTTGTTTGTTTGTTTGTTTGTTTTGGGGGGGGAGGTGGCGATCCGGTCATGGGGCCTGAACTCTGGGCCTGGGCACTGTCCCTCAGCTCTTCAGCTCAAGGCTAGCGCTCTATTACTTGAGCCACAGCACCACTTCTGGCTTTTTTCTTTTTGCTTATGTGGTGCTGAGGAACAGAACCCAGGGCTTCATTCATGCAAGGCAAGCACTCTACCACTAAGCCACCTTCCCAGCCCCAGTGTGCTTGACCTTTTTCACTCAGGGCTCTACCACTTTGAGCCACAGTACCACTTCTGGTCTTCTGGTGGCTAACTGGAGGCAAGAAACTCATAGACTTTTCCTGCTGACTTCAAACCACAATCCTCAAATCTCAGCCTCCTGAGAAGTTAAGATTACAGATGTGAGCCACTGACGCCTGGCTTGTTTCCAAATTTTCTACAGTGAATATTGTTTTATATTAAGAACAAAAGTTTTAAAATATTATGTTCAGTATAAAATTTCTCAGATTTGCGTCTACTATAGCAACACATATTAAGTTCTCTTATATTTACAGTTCATGTTAGGAATTTAGCTTTTTCTTTATGTTGGGAGGGTTTCATTTGTTTCTTATTTTTGGTGGTGTTGAGGACTAAACCCAGGGTCTTAAATATGAATATTAGGCAAGTACTTTACTATATCCTCAGTCTAACAATTTAATTTTTACTGATTTTTATGTGTATGCTGGTCCTGGTGCTTGAACTCAGGGCCTAGATGCTGTTCCTGAGTTTCTTTTGCTCAAAACCAACATTCTACCACTTGAGCCATAACTCCACTTCCAGTTTTTTCATACTTTATTGGAGATAAAAGCCTCATGGACTTTCCTGCTGAGGCTGGCTTCAAATTACAATTCTCAGATCTCAGCCTCCTGAGGAGTTAGGCTTACAGGCATGAGCCACCAGAGCCCAGCTTTACTGACTTTCTACAAATCATCTCTCTGCATATACTTTATCTGAGTCAAAACACTTCCTCCTGAGAAGACATTTATGTATATACCCTTTGCCAAAGGCCACTCCCCCAGAAGGATGTGATGCCCAGCCACTTTGATGAGAAGTAAGGCACAGGATTCCCTGTCTCAGCACAGGAGATTCTGCCCTCAAGGTCTGTGACTGCTACTTCCCTGGATAACTGACTGCTACATGAGACGAGTAGAGCCCAGACTGCCTACTCTCCACCTGGCTGAAGACCCAACTGTTAAGCAGAGACTAGAAGCTCCACAGTCCCCATCGGCCAACAGGGACAGGGCTTTGTTTTCTATAAACAGACAGACAAGGAGAAAAAAGTCAGGTTAAAACAGAGTCCTTAGAGGAAGGAGAATAGAAACCAGGCAGTAGGGAATGCTTCATATTCCTAAAAGCTTTTTTTGTAAGTTAACACATGGTGTCTGCTTCTCTCTAGTCACCTATTTATCACTCTCCTCCTTAGAGAAGGGAAAAAGCCCTGGCTGTTTTCCTAGTGCAGAGTTTTGTGGCTGGGGGAAAGAGGAAGGGGGGAGAAAGGAGGGTGCTTTAAGCATGATGCAAACCATTTGGAGCTGAGTGAGAGCACTGCCAACACAAGCTGCACTATTTAAACAAGTGAGGAAATGATCGTATATACAACATGCCAGTGAGCACACACACACACACCAAAGGAAGTTGAGAGGGATTTTTTTTTTTCCAGGACATAGAGCTGGATGTCAGCGGCTAAAAGGTCGATATTTTCCCTTAACACCCTTCTCAATGACTTAATCATGTTCCGTTTGCACAGAAAACTTCCCAAGAATAAAAAAGTCTGGAGAATTGAGAAGAGGAGTGAATGGGGAAGGACGTTTGGCCTGGGGCTGACCTTATCCGAGGTTTTCTCCACGTAGCAGGGGTCCTGAGGGGCAGCCAGCAAGGGGACAAAGCCCGAGAGAAGCCGATCCTCTTCCAGGATAAGAAGGGTGAGGTCATCATCCGGGTCCTTGTACAGTGGCACTTCAGACTGATTCACCGCTGTCAATATGTTGCAGAAATCAGCCAATGTTGCCCACACATCCACAGCAACCCTATGAGAAATAAGTCAAAAAGAGCAGCTCTAAAGAGAGACCAATGGAAGTATTCTTGGCACTTGTCAGAAAAAAGGTACTTGCAGCAAAAGTTGTCTAGGCTGGTAGCTGCCAAGAAATCATTCCAAAAATGCTAGGATATGAAATTGTGCTCATGGCAGCAATCTGGGATATATGTGTCCCTCTACACAAATTGATTAGGGGGAGTTTTAATCCTAACCAGAAAGGAAAAAGAATTTGGAGAATCAGTTGCCTAATGCAGATCCTGTCACCTTTCCAGACAGAGTGCCGAGACAGTTATTCAAACACTCCAAACATCCAATGCCTAAAGCAGTTCCCTCAACTCTCTTCTATTGTGCAGCCAAGTATATGCCACATAGCAAGAAAATGGGCACCAGCTTCATTCCTCTAGCCACAGCAACATAGGTACCAGTCAAACTATATGAAGAGTCATGTGGGTTTTCCTCTTACTTTAGATCACTTCCACATATACATTTATATATTTATATCTACATGCAGATATAGATATATATGAAAACAAACTGAGATCCAACAGAAACCTCATTCCTGGCCTACGTAAGATCTGCCCAAGAAGGTAAAGCCTCTCATGCATTTCAACCACTACTAGTGCTATCTTGGCTATACTAGACCCTGTCCTTTTCAATTACAGAAGGTTAGATACAGGGTGACCAACTATTCTGCACTGTCCTGGTTTTAGTACTGTAAGTATCATCCTTCACCCTATCTCTGCAATTGCCCAGTCCTGCAAAAATCAGAATGGTTGAGCCACCCTCATTGCATATCCACAGATCCAGGTAAAACCTGAGAAGAAACTCTCAAATAAATAATAAAGTTTTACTCACTCCACTTAAAAGAATGTTCATTTTTCTCTCTCACCATCACTTATTGGCAGATTGTGTTTCTATTGTGTTTCAGATTCATGCTTGATGGGTACTAAGGATCCATCAAACTATTTTTAACCTCCCAGTAATATCTCAAATTGGGGTCTGATATAGTCTAGGGAGCTCTCTCCCTTAACTTTTTCACTCTAGGATAGAATCCTACCACTTGAGTCACACTTCCACTTCTGGCTTTTTGCTGGTTAGGGATAAGAACTGCATGGACTTTTTTGCCTAGGTTGGCTCTGAACCACAATCCTCAGATCTCAGTCTCCTGAGTAGCTAGGATTTCAGGTGTGAGCCACTGGTGCCCAGCCACTGGCCAATTTTACAGAATTGGCTTTTTTCCTCCAGAGAAACCTCTAACATGGGAGTCTCAAATAGGCAATGTCCTGTGGATGTTAAATTTTACTCCAATAGGAGTGAGATGCATAGGAGAATTACAGGAAAACTTTAGCAAATTGAAGAGACGGAGTGTGAAGAGACAATAAGCAAAAATTGTCCTGGAGTTAATGTACATGAGGACCTCTGACCTCATGTCATGTTTCTCCTGGAGACTAGAAACCTTGAGAAGGCACTGA